TACGGAACCGGTAACTCATAATCTATAATTTATAATCCCGACCGAATTGGTACAACTAAACGATCACACAGATAAGCAACACTCAATCTCGGGCGAAATATTGAACCAAATTAAATATTCTTGGTTGTTACTTGTCTTTTGAAACTTATTCCATGGCACGCTTTGCTTAACAAATTATTACAAATTTGTAGCGTTATCAAATTAACCACTTTTTAATTAGCTCTCGTCTGTCACCAGTAACTTTTAAACTGTTGTGTATTAATTATATATATACATATAACGTGTCCTTTAAAACAATTTTACATAAAATTAAATATAATATAATATAAATTTTATTTTTAAGATTTGAATAAAGTCATTCCGCATTCCTCAATTGTCATTCACTACATGGTGATTTGCATCACCTCGTTGTCAAGGGAACGCATCTTTCTTATCATCTTTTATTTTCTATTGCACCATTAATAATTAAAAGTAAACAAAGATATTTTTTGCAGATAATAAATAAATAAAAATCAAATACACAGACTGACAATGAAGCATATATTAATTCACTGTTATCATTCTATAATTATGCGGGAATAAATATATTCTTACATTTGAGCATATTGCATAATTTTGGTTTTAATAATATTAGTATTTGTTTGATTACATACTGAACACACACATGCATTTTTAATGTCAGTGCATACGAATGTCCGGGACGCGTGTAGGAGTTTGTTTAGTATTTCATCGAACAGATATTCCTATGTTTGCTGTCAAACTGAGTTTTTTTTGTAAGAATCATTTCATTCATGTTTTTATTAAAATTAGACTTGCAGAGATTTCACTTCTCATATATACATGTCGCTACACTGAGTATTTTCAGAACTTGTTATAAGAAAACAGCTTTCTCGTCAGGGTACCAGGTGTTGGTGTAACTTTATATTTCGTATTTCTGTGAATATGTGTTCCATATGCCGGTATTTCATTTGTACGTTGCTACGACACAGTCTCCGTACATGATGTCTCACCCGAAGTCTTTCGAACAAGTAGAGTAGAACAGATACATCGGGTTTTTCTAGTTTCATATGTTGTATATGATTCCCACTGTTTACCCGAAACACTAGTGTTAGTGTGTTCAATCTCCATAGTGACAATTACTTGTGCCAAGTACTTTCATTATGAAAAAGGTAGAGTGTACAATTTACAGAAACTTTTACGGAAATGCACAGCTTTTTTGTAACCTTGAACAATTTTATATACCGCCAAGTTTAGGATTTCATTTTAAGACCTGCAATCGGGCATTCTTGTTGGCCGAGAGACTCCTTGTACATTTCAATGACGGTTTAATGGGCGTGGTCGTCGCGCTGCGCATGCGCGACATTTTGTTGATAAACATTAATTTTCCCACGATCCAATGCGCTGTTATAATGGAAGTCACAAGTATGACTTGCACTAATTACCGCCGGTGACTCTCTCGATACCTTCCAATTACCTAAAAATACCTAATCAAAGCTTGGTATCATCTCAGCTTGTTCTCGTTGATCTGCGCAACAGTCACAGTTGCCATCTTTGTTTATATGAGACCCATATCTCGCGCATGGGTGGCGCGACGACCACTGCCCTTTAAGTGTTCAATTGCAATAAGGATGGCAGGATTGCAGCCGTTCCATTAGTCGCGCTTTCTTTTAAAAATGACACAAATATGTGAGCGGGAATTAGATAATCTCTTTCTTATTGACAGGCGGTTAAGTATCAATACAATATCGATGTTATGATCGCTCTCCTTAATTCATTGTGATCACCGAATTGATTAGTTGCTGGAAATGTGTATTGTCCTAGTCACCGTGACATCAGCACTGATCCCGTCCCGTGGCCCTACAAACCCTTAGTAGATGAGCTGATAAACGTTCACAAAACCTTTCCACACTCAATAGCCCACGTTTTAGACTTGCATCAGAGGCGCGAGATGAAAGTGCACTTAAAACATAGGATAAATCTTGATACACGTTGCTTTTAATTACATTTTTGTAAAATGTGATTATTTTTAATTTAAAAAAAAGCAATGTATATAGCTATGTATATGCTCATAAGTCTATGTTGAATTAAATGTATTATATTCGTCATAACTTTGATCTCGCCTCCAGTGTTGTATTTCTTTTATAAAGTCAAGTTTTCATGCGGTACATCAGGCATATATCATAACGAGTCAAACAATGTGCTATTCCATGGTCCGCTTCGCACGTTTTCGCTGAAACCGACCACAGTTAGATAGGCGTGTGTGACTTTATTGTGTAGAAAGATAATAAAAAAGTCACCCGATTTAAAAAAAAAATGGTGATTGTGTGAACAGTCTCAGCTGACCAATTATGATTATGATCGGGTAAGAACTAAGTTAACCTTTGGGATGACAACAGAGCATTTGTTTATATTATGTTCCTCCAACCAATATAAGTAATAATTTATCCTGTTCATAAAAGTGAATAAATATTGAAATATTTCGTGAAGTATATTCAGGTGAT